GTACCCCCAGACGTCGCCCCGTACCCCCAGACGTCGCCCGTACCCCCAGACGCATACCCCCGTACCCCCAGACGCATACCCCCCGTACCCCCAGACGTGGCCCCGTACGTACCCCCAGACGTGGCCCCGTACGTACCCCCAGACGTGGCCCCGTACGTACCCCCAGACGTGGCCCCGTACGTACCCCCAGACGTGGCCCGCATACCTTTCAGCAAGTTTGATGCTCATCTCGGTCTCGGCCGCGCCGCCGCCGGGTAGCAGTCGTCTCGTTCTTATCATGGATCTGACGACGCAAATGGCGTCTCTGAAGGACCTTTCGGCTTCCTCGAGCGTCAGACGGTTGGATGCTCTGAGTATGACGCTGACGGTGTGATCTGATTTGCAGCCTGTGAATTTGACGACGCGGCTTTCGCCTACGACTTGTTCTTCGACGAGTTGTGCGGCGCCAAGTCGCTCAGGAGTAAAGTGCTCAAGCGAGCTGATGGGCTCACAGCCGACAGTGCGAGCTATGAAGTCCACCTCGTCACGTTCGATGTCTCTAAGGACCAGTATATTTGCTTTGGCGAGAAAATCGAGAGCGAGTTCGTTAACAGCTTCTCGAAGAATACTCTTTTGTACGAGCAGGACGTTGCACCCCGTGGCCTGTATCTTCTTAACCATCTTGGCCATCTGCAGGCGTTCCTGGCGCAGTAGGCGGTCCATGGCGGTATAGTCTTTGATGGTGATTTGCTGGTCCATGTCGGTTTTGGGCAAAGAGAGGCAGAACTGAATAAGCCCAATCTTTGCGTCTCTGCAGGATGTGGGGCCGCCGGCAATGCGGCTAACACGTTGGTTAGGTAACACCAGGCCCTGGACCAGCTCGGAGTCATCGATGGTTCCGCCTAACTGCTTCACTACTCGAACGTCATTCAAATCAACGTTCGCATCCTCCAGATTCCGGTGCACGGCGCAAACCGCCTCCACTGCGATGGGCGCCAAGTGCGAAGCCAGGGAGGAAACGACCTTAGACTGCAGACTCGTGCTGACTGCTTTCTCCAGCTCCTCACGGTCCGTGACGTCCACCGGAATACTCATTTCACTCAGCACCTCTTGCGCCATTTTGCTTGCCTGTAAAAACGCCTGCGCTATCGTCTGCGGATGCAAACCCTTTTCCAACAAACCAGATGCCGCAGTTATCAATGCACCCGCCACCACCACCACCGACGTCGTACCATCACCCGCCTCCACGTCCTGCGACTCGGACAACTCCACCAACATCTTCGCCGCTGGATGAATCACGTTCATCTCCTTCAAAATCGTCGCACCGTCATTCGTTATCACCACGTCTCCCTTCGCACCGTGAATCAACTTGTCCATACCCAACGGACCCAACGACGTACGCACGGCGTCCGCAACAGCTACACAAGCATTAACATACCCACACCCTGCTCCAGACCCCCGCCTTTTAGCCCTCTTGGCCGCATTCTGTTCTGTTACCTTTGGCCGCATTCGTGTTCTGTTGGCGAGTGGACATGGCCCTATCATTGCGATCGAGTCTATCAGTCTTCGTAACTCCCTTGGCAACACTCGCGAAACTCATTTATTATTTGGACGCACCCAAATCACAGTTTTCACCCTACCCCTGCCCAACAAATCCATACCAAGTGAATTAAATCCCAGCCCAACCATCGGGTCACCCAACCTCAGGGTCATCCAACTCCAAAACCACACTGACGCTTGGGCAAATACTGTGGTCGCAACAGCAGTGTTGCTGCTTGCGAGAACAACGAGAAAAAACGTCGCTTGACGCACAATTCAGGCGCGAAATTACGAAGTAGAATGAACTCGCTCAATGCTCCGTCCCCCTCACGACCTTAACGACTCTACCCCTGATGAATTAGACGGCTGACGGGTTCCGGAGAGCCATTCTCAGAACGGACCCTTAGTCCATGCCACAAGATAAATGTTAGCAGAGCGATTCTACCGGTTAGAAACAAGGGTGACTATCTCTCAGAGACGCGGTTGAGTCTCAATGTTGTAAGTTCTCGGTCGTGTAGCTCAGCCGGTTAGAGCGTCAGTCTAATAAACTGAAAGTCCGCGGTTCGATCCCGCGCTCGACCAATTCGTCCATATATTATTCGAGTCGTAGCGGAATATGTCGATGTAGAATCTCTCTGCCCTACAACGGGATACAACCAACGAAAATCAGGAGGCAAGAAGCACCGCTGCATTAATCTCAGAATCAATCAGCATCGGCGTTAGCCTTCCCCCATTACTCGAAACGTGATCTGGAACATAGATTATATGGTGTGTGCGTGTATACAAACACGCGCACCGGACTAGATTAAAACGGAATTAGAAGCAGACGAATGGATCTACGATGCCATAGAACGGTATAGCGACTCAAGCGTATCATAAAAACTATCCACATCGTGTGTAAGCGCCCTGGTTATCCCGAGTTGCCTTTTGTGCAACACACGGACGAGACGCGCACGCAATCGCGGAGTTGGCGTACTTCGACAGCCTATTCCCGGCTCCGTGGAACATCAACGACGCCATGAGGCGGAGGGATGAGTTTGAGGTATGGAAAGTACTAATGACTACCAAGATGCCCATGATGGATTGCACGAGTGAGCAGACGGTGGATGCCTGTCTGATGAAGGCCAACGAGATGTTCGGCAACCTTGGCCCTTCAACTCGCCAAGCCTTGCGGTATATCTCTGCGCACTGCCCTAAGGCCGACCTGAAGGCGGACTCCGGCCGTTCGAGACGGGAAAGTAGCTGACAAGCTCAACCTTGTCTCAACCGAGCAATGCGTCTCGCTTAAAGGAGTGTCTGACACCCCTGTGTGCTATGATAGCGGAACCAGTTGTTGTAAGCGTAGGAGAAAGGTCGTGCACCACGTCCCTCGTTGTCGTGCAGCCGAGAGTGCCGACGCTGCTAGGCGTGGATGTGCTAGTGAAGACTGGCTTATTAGAGGTGGATGAGGCAGGCATGAGACTGACCATACCAGCGCTGTACACCGAAGTCGAACCGCCCAAGCAGGCACGCAAGGACGTCGTATCCGGTGTTGACGAGACTAAGTCCGACGAAGAACTGCTGCGCGGCGCGAGACAAGAGGTACAGACGCAGGCACAACATCTCAGCGACGACGACTTCGAGCAACTCTGGTCAGTCCTCCAAACCTAATCAGACGTGTTCCTCAGACCTAGAAGTGGCCATGATACCGTACTGTAGTGAGTGCTACTACCCTTTGTGTGTAGTTTTTGTAGACTACACAGAAAGGGATGCAGCCATCCGACAGTCTCCTGAGCACCCATTCGAAGTTGTTCATCAAGGCAGGCCACGAACTTCCATATATTACGATATAGACCAAGCGTCCGTTCCCCAGACGTCCTTCGAGTAACTTAGTCGTCATTCTCTGAAATGTTGCTGGTGAATTGATTAATCCGAACGGCATGACCTTGAAGTGATAGAGGCCAGTAGGTGTCGCAAACGCTGTTTTCAACTTGTGTTCTTCTCTTAGACGAATCGGGTGAAACCCTGCATTCAGGTCCAAAGTGATTACATGTTCCGCACCTCGGAGTTGATCATGTAGATCCTCGATCACAGGTAGAGGGAAGGTACAGTGACTTCATTTAAAGCCCGATAATCCAAACACATTCACTCACCCGTTTTTTCAGACACCGTTTTTCAGACGATATGTGATCGCCGCGGCCTAGTAGATTCTGAAACCGCTCCAGCTGCGAGAAGATCCTGAACTTGGCGGTCGATCTCGACCCTGATATGATCCGTAGAGTGACACCACTTGCATTGTCTGGGGTGGTTCGCGTTCGGCAAGAGGAAGAGCCAATGCCCAATACGGTTCTAGAGACAGGACCTCGGCCAGACTCTAGGACCGTATTGAGCATTGGCTCTTCCTTTTGCCGAACCTGCTCTGCACGCACGACAGCCGCAAAATACGCTCCATAATATCCACCAAACTACATCGACGGCAGCTTACATCTGAACGAATCTTTATCTCAATCTCTCTGTCGATCTTCCGCAACAAACAATGGCAGTAATCGAACGCACGGTACCTCGACTTCACATGACACAAGAAGGCTGTCCGGATGGTAGGTGTAGAACTTCAGATCGGGAGGTCCCAGTTTCGAGTCCGTAACAAGGGCTGGATGTTCCGAGGCGTTGCTGGGACCAAGGTTGGTAGTAACCGTCGAAGGCCTTACGGAGATCGTGAAGAACGGAGCGGAGTTGTGAGACCTTCGAGTTGTGAGACCTTCGAGATCGGAGTGTATGTTGCGTACCAAATTGGTCCTCTGTTCCCACGTGGGCTGCGTTCGCTAGTGCTGGACATCCAGGAATGGTTATCAAGACACGACAATGCGTAGGACAAGGCAAAGGACAGAACAAAGAACATTGTTGACGTTATTATCGGGAGCGGACGCCGAGTCGATTGCTGTAAGATCGTGACGTAGGTTGCGGTCATCTCAAACATGTTCCAGGAGATCCAGCAACTCATCTTAGGTCGTGACTCCCTGGTTGCGTAGTAAGAGGACTCCTTGCCCGAATGCTACTACCATCGCCTGGAAGCACACTAAGACGCGCAACTACGGACATGCGCACCAGGGGAAAGGATAGGGACACGGTATGAAACCATCGCGGTCAACTTGAATTTGTAGCACATGTAATCTCCAACGGGGTCTGGGTCATGTCTTGAAATATAGTCAGCGATGTAATTTTCAGATCCTTTACGGTAGCCAATTTTGTTCAGTGCTTTTCAACTTGTGATTTGTTAGCCAACTCTACCACGACTACTTGGTTCTCTCCTTTTCACCTATCTCCCTCACCAAAAAAACCCTCTCAAAAAAGCTACCAACTATGTGTCGTTGGCGCCTAATGGTTGAGCCAACACTGTGTTGAGCCAACATTGTGTTGAGCCAAAATATATATCCGTCCTTTTTATTTGTGTGCGGAATCCCTAGGAGCTGTCTCCCCGATGGCTACTGAGTTACTTGACCCGTCGTACAGTTCACTATGGCGCTAACGAGTTCATCAAGGCTTTGAGACGCTGAAGGGCTTTGAGACGCTGAATGTTTTCAACATTCATGGGGTTGGGTCGAATGATCTTTTCTTCGATGATGTAGCCTAGGTATAGAAGTGCGGACGGTAAGAATTGGCAGTATAACTACGCTAGACCGGTAAGACCTCCGAAGACCCTCGAAGACTTGACCGGTGAGTCAGAGAAGTGATGCTACATTCGGTGTATGAATTAAGATATCGTCTAGGTAGACTAGCACACCTGAGTAACGTAAGTCATCAAGCAGGAAGGAGTAGCCTGATGTAGAACGTAATCGATCTGGGGTAAGGGAGTATCATTGGTGGTATGTTTGTTGGTTGGTCGTGGAAGCAAAGTGCGTCTGGTATTTGACGATACACTTTTCAGTAACAGAAAGGTAATCAAAAGTTTCGGTAAGGTGTTCTCTGAACTTGGTTAAGGTGTCTTGTAGCAAGGTCAAACGGTCAACGTCTAACGGTAACGGGGCTTCATGATTTAGAGATGAATGGGAACTTGGGTTGGTTGCTGGGTTCGGTCGATTGTCACGCCGGGGTTAGCAAGGGCGGCAAGGAAGCCAGTAAGGGTAGAAGAGATTGAGTTAAGGTTATTGTTCATGACAGCTAAGGCGCTTAGCACACCAGTTAACACACCAGGGGACCAAAATGCCAAGAAGAGATAACAACAGAACGGCATGGCTTCTCATCTCTGGTTACTTCAATCTCCCTTGGTCTCTTATTCTCTCTTTTCCAAAGAAAGGAATGTGTTGGTCGGCAGACGCTCGGGGGGTCGGCAGACTCTCGGGGGGGGTGCGGACTCCATTCGACTTCTACCGCTTTTCCTCACCACCGACCAGCAACGGGTGGGTGAAGTGTATTGAACGGAATGGGCACTTGCCGTGGTGGGGGCGGACGTCCCGAGAAGAAGAGTCTTTGACTATTCCAACGAGGATGGACTGGGGATCCTCCGATCATGTGTCGGAGATATCATGTGGGAGGATCCCAAGTCCGGGTATCATGTAAAATTTGAATGCCCGCTCCGTCCGAGTCCGTAGCGGCAGCAGTCCGACAGGCAGCATGGAAGTCTCCGGTGTTAACGGTCGTCGCAACGAGGCAGAGGGCCCAAGCAGAGGGCCCAAGAAGACGGCATCGATGGCGTGCTCTCCCCGCGCCAAATAAGGTTGCAGCGACCCTGTCACAACTGCGGATTTGCGCACCAGGGAGAAGGAGAGAGACACGGCATGAAACTCACTCACTCTGTGCCCAAGCATCCCTCTGTTGTTCTTTATCCACTCTTCGAGACGAAAGACTTCACGACTAAATATGATATCAAAATACGATTGATACTCAAGTAGACGGTGCCCAGATCGTCCACCAGTTTATTTGTTCGGAAGGGTATGGCAGTCATCGGAAGCTCCGGAGATTGAATGCAGGAACCGAGAACCCAAGAAGCATATTTTTATGTGCGCGTGGTTGGTGATAAGGAGAGTTCCCTTGTCGTCAATGTGCGCTTGTACAAACGCGTAATCGTAAAATCAAACACTGGGAGTGCGGTGCCGGGGGAGGACACGGACGATACCGGTACCACACGCGTGTGCACCTAAATTTTTGGAAACAAAAAACAAAGGTACGGCAACTCTGCTACGAAACTAAGTATTCAGCGGGCGACGAAAATGAATAGCGGAGTGGCAGATCAGCTTAAGGAAATGCGCCAGCCACTCTCGCTTGGATGCCCCGCTGGCAACCGTCTACTCTTGCTTGGAGAAGCACTGGAACCGCACGTCGGGTCAAGTGCATCAGTTGAGAGACGTTCACTTGACCGAACCTGCAGTGGCTTACTGCATCCAGTCGGAGACGAAGGTATTGCGGGAAAGTATCATGGGCTTACTCAAGATGATGAAGCCCGCCTGGAAGTTACTGACCGCGATGGTGAGTAACCGTTATTCACGCCGACAACGTGAAGCGGCCAATGAGGCAAAGTACCCCGGAATCTTCGACCGAGCGGCCACAATGGAGGACGGCCTCCATGATGGCTCGGAGAAGATTGAACTGGTCGTGCGCGCCAGTACCGCCTGGGAGCGGTAGCCTCACCATGAGCCTCTATCACTAAGTCTACCGACTACTTCTTTCCTGTCTGTCTTCCGCCCTTTGTCCTGCCTCTAAGCTTCCGCTCCCGATCCCGCATCATTCCGTTCGCCCTGCCCATTCTCTCCTGCCCGCTCTTCCGTTTCATTGTTCTGTCGAACACCAGTGGCCTTTCCGAATTTCAGTCTTTGTTTCCAAACCGCACATCCCCAATCCGAAACTTCGAGAGCATTCCACGTATGTCATTAAGCACAACTAATCCCAGTGACCACTGATGACTTATGACATAACCAGCCAGCAGGTGGTGGGTGTTTGCAGGACCGACTACCTGAAGGCGGTGCAGAAGTTCGTGAACAAGGAACCAAGAAGAAGAAGGGTCAGTCGGCGCCGGGAGAGGACGTGGGCATGCCGGTGGCCGCAGTCGGGAAGCTGGCACCGAGGGACAGCCCACGGGGCGCAGTGAGCCAAAAGGAGCTCACAGCGAACGGGGCGCAGACAGCAACTACTACGGTACTGGGCTCGGGGCCAGTGCCGAAACAGTACCTGGAGCCGAGCTTCTCCGAACCACAACACCACAGCCGGGAGGAATTCAGGGAGGCGATAAAGAGGACCTTTTTCCGAATGTACCTCCTGTCTACAATGGACCAAAAACCCCATCTAGAACATGAAGCACCCTGGGTGACTATACCCTGGCCACTATACCCTGAATGTAGTATTCTAATCTTGCGTGCACAATATATGTTTCTAGAGTTATTTTTAATCGGCTCGTCAATCGGCTCGTCAAGCTTTTGGCTAAGAGTGAGTTGTCTGTAAAGACTTGCAAGTCAGTTCTTGCGGTTTTTTCACGTTGTTTTTGAGCTGGCTGAGGTACTCTTTAATTAGCATATATGCGCCCTGAGCTTCATTGGTGTTGTGAACTGCTGGAAGCGGAAGTGAGGCGGTCGTAATGGTATTGTCTGCTTGTTTGAGTACTAGTCCGGCAGCTTGATTCGATCTAGAAAGAGTTTCAGCGGTTCGCCAACGGTGGTAGTAAAGTTCTTGGATGGTTTAGCGCTTTGGTGTATATGGTTAATATATCGGTACTTTGTTAGTGAGTAGTTTACCCAGGTGCTGGTATTGTGCTGCAAGCACCACCGTTCCGCAATGCCTGCCAGAGGTCCCGCGTAGAAACGCTAGGTGTCGAGCGGGTCATCGACAAGACCGTGCGAGCCATCTTTCCGGCGAGCTTGCAGAAGAGGTAATGACATCCAGACAGTTCTCGCTATGCCAGACCACCGCAGCTCGTAGTACCGTTGTGTATACGGCAGGAAGGTCCATACCGAAGACGTGTGCACCGTTTGAACGGCAAGGACGAGTGAAGATAGTTGTGGACAACCGCCCAGGCGCCATCAATATAAGAATGCTTCGGGACAGGACGTCCGTCGACAAGGCCAAGTCCTCTTGCCCACGAATCTCGAGCGCCAACTGCGAGTCAACCAGAAGCGCAATGAGACCGACAAGAGACTGAGGAGACCGACAAGGCAGGCGAGCCGCCGTCACGAATACAGATGCCGACGTTCGCAGTAGAGATAATGTCGCCAGAGGGTGTCCTTCGCGAGCCCGGGATGCCGCACCAGGCGTAGATGAATAGCTGACAGACCAGGAGCTGCTCCGGGAAACCAGGGATGGAGTACGGAAGCGTGCACCACATCTGAATGAGACAGAAGCAAGGCTGATGCCATTGCCGCGGGCGGCTGAGGAAGAGCCCAGACGCCAGGTAGACTCTCAACTTTTGAAAGACGTCATACATCTTGGTAAATCGCCGTGGAGCTCTCGTCCGGTCGTAATCCCAAAGACAACAGGCGACGACCGGGTCGTAATAAACTATCGGCAAGTCAATAAACAGATGCTTGATGACGCGTTCCTTATTCCCCTCCTCTGGGATAATCTCCAAAAGGGGTCCGGCCATTCCTACTATATTGCTCACGACTGTAACTGTAACTGGAATACTCCTATCAATGAAGCGTGTGAGCAATACACCGCGTTCTACACCGCGTTCTGGGGTCGCTTGAGGTCGCTTTGGGTTTACTCCCCTTCCATCGAGGGTTCATTCTGTCAGGGTACTCCGACAAGGTGCAGCTCGTAAATGTTGACTACCGGTAGCTCCCGACCCGGATGCGCAGCTTGTACTAAATACCGACGTCAGTGAGTAGGAGCGGCATTTCGTCAGATCAACGATGGTAGGTTGGTGGTGATCGAGTACGGTAGCAAGAAGCTCACCCAAGCTCAACGTCATTGGGATGCGGGGGAAAGAGAGTTATAGGCGGTCAAATACTTTGTGACCAAGTGGGACCCTTACCTACGGCTAAGACCCACCCTGGTGCTCACCGACCACCGCAATCTCGCTTTCCGGCCGAAGGCGGACACAGGCAAGGTAGGTCGATGTGGGCTATGTTCCCCCAACAGTGCGACGATCGGGACTTCGATGCTATGCACATCGGTAATCGACGCTTAGCAGTCCACTTGGCCGAGGTCAGCCAGAAGCTATTCCAGCTGCCGTCACGCAACGAGTTCGTTGTGAAGGACGACGACATCCCCGTGGACGAGTTGCAAAACCTCCTCAAAAGAGGAAAGCGGTCTCTGCGAACATTGTGAGAACAGAAAGTTGTTCGTCCCGACTCGACTTAGGTCCAAGCTGACTGCTTGGTACCATATGGGAGAGCGCGGCGGACATCAAGGCGTCATTGAGACCCACAGGAACATGTCCGAGCTGTTCTGGCGGCCACGGGCCAAGGAGTTCATACAGCACTTCGTCCAAGAGTGATGTGCCCGCAGCTTTTTCGTGCGTAACCTGCCTCGGGCGCATGAAGGGACGCGGGAGCAGCTGTTCTTCGTGACTGGAGTAAGCATGGTTATGTGAGCCCTAGAGCATTCCAAGGACAGGAATACCACATCCTCGTGTGCATAGACCACGCAACTCGCGTCATCGTAGCCAGAGCAACGTAGGTGAAGACCAGCCGCGGTAACGCGTGGCCTGTTCGCAGAAAGTTGGGGATACCCTTCGAAGTATAAACGGATGGAGGTGACTTCCACGACTGAAAGTCCAGCATATCGCTGCCCCACTACACTACACCTACTTTAACAGAATGGACTAAACGAATCGAATCACCGCACCCTGGAGCCCGCACCCTGGAGCCCGCACCCTGGAGCCCATGATGTCCCAGATACATCAAGATGGCCACTATTGCGAATTGACGCTGTTGCTAGCCCATGCACTGTACATCCTACTCAACGCGTTCTAAGGCATGCCTTGGTGCTCACCAAGCCACCGACAGCGAAAGGCGAGCTGGGAGATGTTGTAGTCGTGAGTACCATGGTCGAACCCGTCGAAACCGCAGTATGATCAGACCGGAGAGATCCCCTATGTACATCCAAACGTTGGCTGTTATTTTATGTAGAAATCAATACGTCAGATTGTGTCCGTACGAACACTGCAGCAGACTGGTGTGGCATGACAAGGTGCAATCGAAACCGTAAAACCTGAGTTCTTGTTCATGCAATCACGGAATGCGGGTGTGAGGCTACAGCGAACCCTCACTCGGCCCGCACGGAGCCCGGTATCAAGGTTGCTTATCAGAGAGCTGGATACCATAAACTGGGAGAGCTGTTGAGCCGTCAGTCAAAACCAACTGAGCTATAAAAGAAAACCTGTGTTGACTACAGGATGGGTTCTAACCCTGTTGACAACTCGGCTCGTGAATAAAACTGTGAGATGTAGGCCGGTGTCGCAGAGATGTAGGCCGGTGTCGCAGAGATGTAGGCCGGTGTGGCAGAGATGTAGGCCGGTGTGGCAGAGATGTAGGTCGGTGTGGCAGAGATGTAGGCCGGTGTGGCAGAGATGTAGGCCGTCAGCCTCTGTCGAGAGGATTCTCGTAGTGAGCTGTTTCTGGATCATCACATGCACGGCTACACGAAGTCGGCGTGGCAGATGGTATCAGCTTTGCAACATGTGAGTGGGTCTCGTATACCATTGCGACAGCGAGACAGGTGGTCCTCCAAGTGTAGTTGAATGCCTCTTCAGTTGCCGCTCGGCCCATTATCTCGTCAAGAGCCCGCTCGTACAACTCGCGAAATTTTTCTTCCGAGATTGAGAATTTGAACGACTTTTGTTCGACCACGGAACGCTCAATGTGGTCAGGCGGTACAAGAGTTTCAATGGCATCCTCAGCAATGAGCATCTGGGTCATGCGACGCACGAGTTGTTCCTCTAATCCCAAGAACCCACGCAGCGCGACTTGACTAGGGCCATTGATATCGAAGCGGCGGTGCACAAGTCCTACCGGGAAATGAGCCGCCTCGGGAGGAGGCACTTCGCCAGCCATCTCTAGTCCAGACATCTTCCAAGATACCAAGCCTGAGAAACAAGCGGAATGCAAGCGTTCTGGGTGATTGTAATATGCCGCGTGGTAATGTACGTAACGATCTAGAGCAACCAGCGGTACCATATGGAGAACCAAGACTCCCGGGTCATCTTCTGGGTTCCGGGCGACGTAAGGCGCTATAGTTCCTATGTCTTGTGACATGCTCCGAGTCATTTCGTCGTACCCCAGCTCGACAGCATGGGTGCTGTAAGTATGCTGCGCTACTAGCTGAGTGAGACCCTGCAGAACGAACATCTGACCACCGTCAGCGAACACCGGCGGATGCTCCTTGAGCTCCGCCAACATTTGCTTGAAAGCCTGTCCTGGATACCAGCGCGCAAGTACGGAGAGAGACCACACTCTTTGCGCTGGTGTCATCGAATCTTTCGTGTCCAGGTAGTGCGCCCAATATGCCACACCCACAGCTGACCTCAGTCGAGAATCACCAGGGAAGATGACGCCTGGGGCCCACGGGGCAAATGACTTGTACTCGGATTCAAGCCAAGCCTGAGGCAAGACAATCGTGTTGTACGCTTCTTCTAGTCGAGAGACTACTGCCCTCGCGCGTCCCAAGTCTTTAGGTTGGCACCAAAACGTGGGAATGAGCCATTCACAAACAGCTCCAAAGCCAGGGTGACTCAGTTGTCCCTGTTCGGCCACCGTTCCCCGCGTCATCGCAGGCCCAGAGTTTGAAACTCTAGGGCTAAGAACCTGACGTTCAAACCACTCCAGAATCAGCTCGTCACGAGTCTTATTACTACGACCCTGAAAAAAGCGTTCAAGGGTCTTGTTGCTGCGGCCCTCGAAAAGGCATTGAATGGCATCAGCCTCACCGTCCTGTGTCATACCCTGGTAGTACAAGCTCCGCGACCACTGACCCGGTTGTGCTCGCAGGGTCTCCAGCGTTGCCAACATTGTGTCGATGCTCCGGGAGAGCTGAACCGACCGGCTCCGGGGGCTTCGCATGTCCGAAGATTTTTCGGGTGTCTCGAGAGGGATAAATATAACCGGACATTATTTAATGCTGAGCCGAAGAAAGCTTAAGGCTGTTCTTTCCTACGTCTTCCCGACTTTTGGGACATGGTAGACCTCGAGCACGGGATACAAACACGCGCGTGTGTGTGACAAAGACGGGGACATCCTTTAACCAGATCAATACTAGAGACATGAACCCCCAATACGAACTTCAATGGCTGGGAACAGATAAGATATTAACTGGTGGACGACCTGGGTATCAATCCCAGTACCTCTCGCATGCCAACTGCACGCCGGATGCGGCGATACATTTGTTTCTGACGAGATGGGCACCATACATGGGCAATTGTGATAACGGACAATCACCCATTTACAGCCCTCACGGCCCTGGAACAGTACGGAGTCAGACATTACCACTGTGCCCCATTCTACCCGCAAGGGAATAGCATCAACGAGGCCAGCCATCCTTTTCTCCGCCATGCCCTCAGCACCCAACCAGGATCGGATCTTCCGGCTTCTCGAGAACTCGTCTTATCAGCGGCCATGTTCACCCATGATTGCAGCCCCCACTAGGCTGCTCCCCTCTATGTGCAGTGACTGGGGCGGAACCCATGCTTCATGGAATGGCTCCTACTCCCTCCCTACCCGAGCACGTTCGCCATGCAAATAATTACATGAATTGCAGGTACGACTGGCCGCATTGCAGGAGTTAACCAACGCGAGGAAACCTATCACGCTCATCCATGTCGGAGACCTGGTATCCTTCGCCCTGAACGATCTAGAAGCGCGGGCTTTTCGAACACGAAACCGTGCTCGAGGATACAAACACGCGCGTGTGTGACAAGGACGAGAACAGCTTTTAACCGATTCGATACTACAGACATGAACCCCCAATACGAAGTTCCCACCGCAAGTGATATGATATTAAATAATTCCCCCGTTCCTGAAATGCCGCGAGACCAGTACCGAAGAGATCTTTCTTCTCACAAGGCCTCTCCGAGTAACAAAAAGCCGAACAAATTCATGCCGGACTTCTTCCCCAGTGGCGGGAAGAATTTCGGAACATTAAAATCCTCGCCACTGCCCGAAGGAGCGAGCACACACCAGAGGGCGAACGAGATTGTCCGAAGGCCTTTGTGATCAACAGGCTGGGGACGATTTGGCTTTCGGTCTGCAATACGACCCAACCGGCAAGAAACCAGTCCGCGCGGCGCCAGCAACATGTGAGTGCATGAGGGGGTACACCCGGGCTTGGGGGAAGTGCTAACATGGCTCAGTGACCACCGAAAGTTTCTTCTTCCACCCCCATTTCAACGGGAAGGTGCTCCTGATCGGGCAGACTTAGACAAGCTCACAAAGATTGGCGAAGACAGCCGTGGAGTTACCGGTCTGGAAGATGACATAGTGATAGTGAGTGATCAAGGGGAGTACTCTGGTTGAGTCAGGACCAGACATTGCGGCCGCTCCGCCAATTAGGTTGCGCACCTTACCTTCCGAACTGGTCCTGATGCCAGGCGCGCAACCTAATGGGCGGAGCGGCCGCAACGTCCGGCGGGATGTCTTCTGCTGGACACAAGTTGAATGATTAAGAGGTGTGAGAGAATGCCCATGTGCTGTCAGCAGCTGCGATACGGAACTGGCCTTCGACGTCCTCTTGAGGTGGAATTTCTTGAAGATGCTCTGAGCCTTTGCGCGCCCCGTACGTCCGTGCCTGACCGCGACGTTCCTTTCCTCCCGGTGGAGTCGCCCCCGCGGGTCCTGACGACGATCGCCCCTCCGCCCGTGTTCGTTCCCGCTCCGTCAAACCCCCGGGCGAACGGAAAACTGTCAGGAACGAGGTCACCACAATGCTGACGATGGGTGTCATCCGCCCTTCCCCATCGCCGTGAGCGTCGCCGACCCTTTTGGTCCCCAAGGAGGATGGCTCGTGGCGTTTTTGCGTGGGCTTTCGCCGCCTTGATGACGTGATGGCGAAGGACAAGTTTCCTTTGCCGCGTATTGACGACATGATAGCCGCGTTGTCCGGGGCCCACTTTTTTTCGAGCCTGGATGCGGCGTCCGGGTATTGGCAGGTCCCGATGGGAGGACCCCGACACACCAGCAGGCTTTGGACGCCATCCACCCGGTGCTCTGTGTGGAAGCGGTTCAGGCCCACCCGGACTTCTCCCGCCCGTTCGTCGGGACTGCGACTCCTCTGAGACCAGCATGCTGTCGCAGGTTGACACTGCTGGTAACGAGCGCGTCGTGGCGCTGGAATCGCGGAGGTTCACCGCGCCCGAGCGCAAGTGGCATATCAGGGAAAAGGAGCCGCTTGCGATAGTATGGGCCCTGGAAAAGTTCCGCCCATTCGTCCTTAACGCTTCCGCTGGCTTTGTGGTTCGCACTGACCACTGCTCCCTCCGGCGACTCCTCGACGCGAAGCCCGGCCGACTGCAGCGGTGAGCGCTCCGTCTCAGTGAGTATGGCTCCTTCCCCGCTTGCGCGTGGTTCGCGATGGTGTGGTCGGCCTGGGCTGCCGCAACCGTCGGCCACCTGGTGCTGCTCAGCCAGAAGTTCGTCATCCCTGGGGGCATCCATGCCTGCACGACGGCCGTCCGCGGGTGCCTTCGGTGGCTGCCGAGGAAGGCCCCTGTTTTCTGCGGCAGAATGTCAAAAAACAACTACAAAAAATGACAACCAAACTTCAGTCAAGTCCTGATGACCTTTTGAACTTTGGAGTGCGCTTCGTACACCATTGCGACAGCGCGACAGATGGCCCTCCAAGCGTAGTTGAATGCCTCTTCAGTTGCCGCTCGGCCCACTATCTCTTCAAGAGCCCGTTCGTACAGTCCGCGGAATTTTTCTTCCGAGACCGAGAATTTGAACGACTCTTGTTCGACCAGGGAACGCTCAATGTGGTCAGGCGGTAGCAGAGTTTCGGTGGCATGCTCTGCAATGAGCATCTGGCCCAATCGACGCACGAGTCGTTCCTCTAGTCCCAAGAACCCACGCAGCGCATTTTGACCAGGGTCATAGATGTCTAATCCGGGCGCACATTCTACCGGGAAATGAGCCGCCTCGGGAGGAGGCACTTCGCCAGCCATCTCTAGTCCAGACATCTTCCAAGGTACCAAGCCTGAGAAACAAGCGGAATACAAGCGTTCCGGGTGATTGTGGTATGTCACGTGGTACTGTGCGTAACGATCACTAGCAACCTGGGACATCGTCCGATGAACCAAGACTCCCACATCCTCTCCTGAACATCGTGCGACGAAAGGCGCTATGTAAGCAATGTCTTCTGCCATTCTCCAACTCATTTCGTCTGACCCCAAGCCAACACACTCCCCCATCATTCGCCGCACTGCTAGCCGAGTAAGACGCTGCAGGACGAACATCTGACCACCGTCAGCGAACACCGGTGGATGCTCCTTGAGCTCCGCCAACATTTGCTTGAAAGCCTGTCCTGGATACCAGCGGGCAAGTACGGAGAGAGACCACACTCTTTGCGCTGGTGTCATAGAATCTTTCGTGTCCAGGTAGTGAGCCCAATATGCCACACCCACAGCTGACCTCAGTCGAGAATCACCAGGGAAGATGACGCCTGGGGCCCACGGGGCAAATGACTTGTACTCAGATTCAAGCCAAGCCCGAGGCAAGACAATCGTGTTGTATGCTTCTTCTAGTCGAGAGACTACCTTACTCGCACGTTCCAAGCTTTTTGGCTGGGACCAAAACGTGGGAATGAGCCATTCATAAATGGTTGTAAAATCAGGATCACTCATTTGTCCGTGTTCCTCCATCGTTGCCCAGGTCATGGCAGGCCCAGGGGTTGAAGCTCCAGGGCTAAGAATCTGGCATTCAAACCACTCCAAAATCAGCTCATCACGACTCCTATTACTACGGCCCTTAAAAAAGCGTTCAAGGGTCTTGTTACTGCGACCTTCGAAAAGGCATTGCATGGTATCCGCCTCACTGTCCTGTACCATACCCTGGTAGTACAAACTCCTCGCCCACGCACCCGGTTGTGTTGCCAGGGTACTTAGCGTTGCCAGCATCGTGACAACGCCCCGAGAGAACTTAACCGACCGACTTCGAAGACTTCGCATGTTCGAAAATTACCCGTATTTTTTTTACCCGTCCGCGATTCGTCCGATTACCCGACCCGCTGGTTCCTCCATTCGCCCACTGAGCCTTCCCATGTACTTCGAACTCTACACTATGCCGTGTTCTGCCAGTTCTTGGTCGTAACCAACACTTGGAGTGTTTCTGCAACACTTGGAGTGTTTCTGCACCACTTGGAGTGTTTCTGCAACACTTGGAGTGTTTCTGCAACACGTCCCAAAGCCTCTCTCTAACGACAGCATCCAAATAAGACGTCATACCCGTTATCAGCTCGTTTGCACTGGCCAAAAGTCTTCGTCTAACTTCTCCTCCTCCACCAGTGAAAACACATCAACCTTGTAACAGCTTTCTACATGGAACTGACACTTACACGCATCGAAGATGCCTAGCGCAAGAGCTCGTTGGCGGACCAGCTCCACTCGTAGCCAACGTCGCCTTGAATAGCATCACTTTGTCTCCGGCCCCCACGTCACCCAACTGGCGAGTGAGGTCGGTACTCACGATAGACGTGGTAGCGCCCGTGCTTCCAGATGTTTTCTTTCGGTCCGGTGACCCCCGGTTTTAGTAACCAAAACGACCAATGAAATGGGCAAGGTCTTTCTCCCAATGTCCGGGCTAATGAAATGGGTAAGGTCTTTCTCCCAATGTCCGGAAATGACCTTCAATTACCTTGCACCGACCTGTAGACGACCGGCAATAACGGCGCAACTCAGCTGCTTACTCAAGGTAGCGCGGTAACGTCCACGATGGCGAGCTCCGGCATCCTGCTGTTGGCAGCCGGGCAAAAGCTTCACAGCCTCCTTTTCATCAAGAACCCTCTGTGCAGGGCACACTCGTCGATATCCTCAACTCCACCCTTACTCATCTCGGTAAGGGCATTTGGCTTCGCGGGATCGGGAAGGTCCTCCTTGACAAATGCCGGGAGGCAAGGAACTTTGTTTTTAACCACACCTCCCGCCGCGACAGCAAGCCCCGGATCATCGGTATGGTCTTCTGTAGCTATTATTCTCATAATCAATTGACTTTGTTTTTCAACCTTTCAAACCAAGGTAGATCCTGGAGGTTAACGATCTATCATTGTGCTCCTGGTGAGCCGGAACTGGTGTGTTCGCGGGTGACTTGTCTGAGTGGTGGAGCCCCACGAGCCGGTCCCGCCCGCTGGACCGAGCAGCAAGGCCCGCTCGTATGGCTTAGTGAGAGGCTTCGCTTCGTTTCCCTGCGTCCTGTACGCCGTCGTCGGGCCTCGTGATAGGCTCACGAGACAATCCCGCACACCGTCCGGGCTACGTTACAACAGAACGCCATCCGCTCTATGAGCGCGTCGTCCTCTGCCTCCTCGGCGGCATACGCGACAGCCGTACAGTTCTTCTCTCCAGACATGAACTCCAGCGTGAAGTCCCTCGAGGGACACCTCATGTTCACCCAGCTTCAACCCAAATATAATACGCACTCAGACACATCCGTCTCTTGTACGGCTGGCCCGGCTGTACGGCTGGCCCTCTTCGAGAGTCGAACTGAAATTCTATGAGGGCACGGGTGCGGGCCTCAGCGTGCTTAAGAGGGAGGACTGACTGCCAGGGGGCCGGGTTGCGACTGTCGCCAGCGACT